GTCCTTCATACGCAGGAGTTCATGGTCGTTTGGTGAACAGATATCTGAAAGGTGGAGGGCTCTTAAGTGCTCGGCTTCGCGGTTGTGAATGTTGATAGGTGAGGCTTCCCATGCGATCAAGGAATTTGAGTTCTCCGTTTCACCGTGGGGGCTCGTAAGAACTTCCATATGGCGCTCAAGATCTTCTGGCGTCGCTAGGGTGTGAACCACCGAGGACCGAAGAAGAGGTTCAGGAAGCCGGGCCAGATCAGGGTGCAAAGGTGGCACGGTATATCGAAATGTCTTTTCTGCGAGTCGATGTTAATCTGGATACTTGTTTCATACAACCGGAGATACTGCGAACTCACTTCCAAACGCATCATTCTCATATTCCAAAAGACCTCTCGTAGACAGTCTATTCGGCGTCTCATCATAGTGAACGGTAACACCCCATCCCTCGATCTGCTGCCTCACAGCAGTCGGGAAGTCAGACCCAGCAGTGATGACACAGCACACGGTCGCAGACTCATTTTCCGGGACGGCAAGACGTGCGCCGAGGGTGCCTGTCAAGTGTCAGACGCCGGGTCTCACTTTTTCGAGATCCTTTCCAAGAGAACAACATGATAAGAAAAAGACAGCAATAGATGAAACCTCGAACTCGACTTTCACAGCTTCACTTACCATAAAACCCAGAACCGCCAGGAACATCACAAAGAATTCTCCCGTCCGGGAAGCGGAGCTCATCAATGACAACCATGCCGAGCGAAATAAAAGCCGGAGCCGGCGACCCCATCCCCGGCTCCGGACCGCCCGCCGTTTCAGACACCATGATTGGCTGTTCGCGTTTATGCATGTTTCCCCCTGTACTCCGTAGACTTATCACGCCCCCGGAATGAGATGGCAGAAGTTTGAGGTCTTGTTGAGAGAGACACACCACACCCGCCCCCGTTTGAGACCTTTTCGCCAGCCCGCCCGCAACGCGGCCAAACACGTGGGTGGGGTGAGGCGAAATGATTGGATCTTCGTAATTCCGAGCTGCGCTCCCTAGGAAGGGCTGGAGAATACGGATAGGTAGGCAAGGTATGGGGGAGGCCCACGCCAAAAAGGTTGTTACGACGATGTCCATCCATCTCCCAGGCCCGGCCCGTCTCTCTGCCCATCCGCGGATCTCGAATAGATGACATCTGCCACACCAGCCCGTCGCTCTATGTTTCAAACGCCATTATCACAGCTCGTAGACAATCAACGCCACAGCGGCTTTAACGATGTATCGTTGGCCGCGGCCACCGCGTGCCAGAGACAATCTCTAATCTTAGACAAGCTCCCGCGTCCGGTATCCTCGCCGCGACCGCCCCGAAACGTAGAATTCACCCTGACAATCTGCGTGTCTGAGATCATGAGATGTGACTGGGTACTGGGTGAAGATGGCACCTCGGATTCGCGGATTGGGGACAGAATTGGAATGAGCGGTGAGTGTGAAATCGCCCGCACCTCATTCGCCTCACTCAATGTTCCAACATGTGAGGCTCAGATATGTTAGGAGTAGGGTAGGTAACTCCCGAGTGCCTGGATGCCAATCACGCGATCCTGATCACCAATCTCGAATAAGTCAGGCTCGGCGGCATGCTTTCTTTTTTACGATCCCTTATCTGTGCGTGTTGATATCTCAGTTGTCGGCGCGCATACATACCTACCTTTTCAGACAGCGTTGCATTTGCATTTGCATGGAACATATGCGTACTTACACATGAAGTAGGCATTCGAAAAGGCAAAAAAGTAGAGCGAGGCCATCGATACCGCGCCACATGTAGACGCCAATCAAGGTCACTACGTGAGAGATCCGCGGCGTGGCCGGATGCAGATGAGGCGTGTATCAGTCAAGCCACTCGCCTTCATCCAATTGTCATGAGGGAGCTCTCCAAGGGATTCCCGATAATGGATTTCCACAGTATGGTTCTTCGTTCAAGGTACAAATTTGTCAAAGAAGCCGAGCAGAAGCATCCTGTCAGTCCTCCCAGCATAACCAACCTGGGTCCAAGAATCAAACTTCATACACGAGAGCGGCAGACGTCGTCGCACGGCCGTCGCCCCGTCCGAGACGCCATAGGCTACTAAAAATACCGGCGCTGGGGAATAACAAGAGTCGAACCAGAATTACCAGACACACGCCAGAAAGAACAGACTCCAGGGCCTTACCTTGATCGAGGTACCGGGCCAGTGGTTCCTCTCAGAACTCTTCCCTCGCACAGACTCGGCCCTGATTCGTGTGTCTTTTTGGTGGTTCCAGCCATTAAAGAATTATCCGAACGACCCTCACGGCGACGGGTTGGTCTGATGTTCGGCGATAGATACCTCGCTCTCCGACCTCTTCTTCTCGGGTTTAATCAGTCCGCTTGCATGGGCGCAAGTATCAGAACGTTCGGGATTCCAGGCCTCCTTCTTCGGCGCTTCTCCTTGCCGTCGTCATCAAGGATCCATTTTCGAAGATTCTTCATGAATCAGGTTCTTGTCGTATCGATGGAGTCTTGTTCATGACTTCATGGGAGTCAGGAGGGGTGAATATCGCCGAGTTGTTCGGAGGCCTAGTTCGGACAGCGAACAACAGATTGAGACGCCGTCTGAAGTATGGCTTGCCACACCCTGCATAAGCTTCAAGGATTGGCAGTGAACTATACGCGGGCGAGAGAGGAATGATTTTGAAGGTGCCGTTCGCACCGAGTAGAGGCGCGTAGAGGCGCACAAGACCGATCCAAGATGCGCCATTTTGCTTACCCGCAGAACCTGGCAATCTGCACCGTCAAACATTCTCAAGTCGGAGAACGATTGCCGTACAACTGTCGTGCGTCGCCGTCTGTGACGGTGGACATTTCGAGACAGACATGGGATTCTGGCAAGGTTTCCCAACGATCTGGCCATGCGCCGATCGTCCGTCTTCTGTGGCCAATCATACTGACGCCAATTCAGTGAGTAATTCGACCTGCGGCAGCGGCACAAACACCCCCGGGACGGTGGATCTGAACCCCAAGCGGTGAGCCCAAGAAGCTATGGAGCTCCCCTGAGCTTCGAGTTCCTAGCTTGCCAACCAACCACCAGCGTATCGTGGTAGTGTGTAGCTTCCCCCTGTGTATTTGCGCGTCAACTTGTTTATACCTTGATGCACTGTCCCAGGTGCAATTTCCACCATATTGGTAGGCAAATAGACTGGCCTTGGCTCAGTGCGATCTTCGGAGGGTTAGTCCAAGAGCCCAGAGTCAAGACTCAACGGTTCGCCCTGTCCGCCATTTGGCCGTGGGCGGCTGGCCAGTGATGTCGAGCGAGATAACCCCATCCAGGCATGCCCAGCCGACAAGGACGATCATGGGGTTGCAGGTCCCCCAGCGGCAGGGGAATACCTACGCTAACTAGCCCCAGCATGTCTTGGTTGGCAGGCGTGACAGGGCAGGGCAGGGCGGTACCTATGTTACGACGCTTCTTTGGGACAATCCCAGGGCGACCACGGCGAAAGGAGAACTCTGCGATCCAAAGAGTCAAGAGTCCAGGACGAAAGCTCGACGAGAGAAACCAAGAACGGACGAGGAAAACAGGAACGAGAAGCGCTACGATGGCCAAGCCAGCCGTTGCTGAAGAGAGAGAATCATAGCGAGGATGGAGACTATGAAAAAAGGACGCCAATGCGCGTCTCGGTCAACAAATCTTCAAGTGGCAGACCAGCCGTGCCTTAGCCCTGAGCGAGTCTGACGGTTCGTCCAGTGGGCCCTGACCCGCCAGAGCAAGGTGTAGCAATGGCGAGCGTCAGTGGTGCGTCTGTGGTTTCTGGTGCGCGGGTGTGAGAGCGAAGTGTGAGTTGGCTGCTGAGTGTTGTACTCCGTTCAAATGGCCATGTTGGAGGCTTCCTCCATTGCTTAGGCTGTTGACCGAGAGGATTGTCGGAGAGAGAAGTATCCTCGTACCTTTACTAAGGCACCTTCAGTAAGCACTGGTACGTAGCGTGGTGTGAGTGGGGGCAAAGGGACGGGAAGCCGGCGTGCATGTACCGGGGACCCGCAGCTGGCCCAAGCTCCTCAACGTCTCGAAGCTTTTGGTTTCCCTTCCAAAATTCCCTGTCCTTAGGTTTTTTTTGCCTGTCCCCCGTTTCTGTCTCCTTGTTCCTGCTCGCCTCGAGTTCCCCCTCCAAGCACCAAGCAGGGACCTAGAAACTGTCAAGGCGAAGTCAACACGCGCTGTCAGTGCCAGTCAATCTTGTCGTAGCCAAGCTTCTCTTGATTTTCAAGTGGAAACTGTAGTCGACACTCGACAAGGAGTCATGGACGCTTCCCCAGTGCACAGCCTGTGAGCCAGCCATGCCAGCTCAGCTCAACAAGCATTTTGATGGATACCTGACCTTTCGATGAATACGGAAGGCGCCGCGCGATCTGCATTCATGCATAGCCATATTCTCAAGTTAATGCCGTCCCTGAAAATCATCACAAACATCGACACCGAGTCGTGGAGCCCGACACGTAACAGTGCCTAAACTCCCGTAGCATTGGTCAGCGACCGGTATCCGTAGGTGTTGACTGGCGCGTCCAGAGGACTCTATCATGCGACGGGCCCTTGAGATCCCATCTTGGGATCTGGGTTTCCCGCTCTGCCACTGTGACAATCTGTCCAGGGACCAGCCAGGCTTGGAAGGGTTATGGATGTCTCTATTTCTGTTGAGGAGGGCGTGTCTAACAACACCCAGCCCGTTCCTTATCGGTATCACCGGGAACACCCCAAGAGCCATGGGGACGTTGGAACGCGTCTGTCTGACATCAAGCTATCGCCGTTGCCTCTGAGTCTGCTTCGTCTGCTCGACCAACGCCGTTTCTTCCATCTTCACTGTCAACGTCTTGGAGGGAACCGCTCGTCATCCCCCCTCCATCACCATCCTCGCCTTCACACCACCACGACTCACTCGTCTCTTCGATCATCGAACTTGGCATCACGATTGAAACTATGACAATCTGACACCCGAAAGCCAGTTCGCAGTAGGCACTACTTTAGACTCGAACAACCAAGCAAACCACTGCACAGTGACACCAACAGCCAATTTGATAGGTTTCTGGGTTGGGGTTGGCGGAATAGGCTCGGCCGTTCTCGCTCAATCTTCCACCCTCCTCTCCAAGGACAGAAGCGCTATGGCAACCCAGTCTCCCAAAGCACCATCCTCGCTCGCCTACTCCTACCTTACTGCTTACCTCCCGTCCGGTGCCCGCCTTGGCAGGGTCACGAAGCTGCTTCATCGCAGTACCCGACCACCTCGAAGAAACCAAGTGAACCACCGAACCCAGTCCAGGCTCCACGGATAGAGTCTTCCTTTGCCTGGACGTGCTCATCCCATACACGTGCCCTATCCTTGCTCTCTCTCTCTCTCTCTTCTCTGCGCATCGATGGATATGTCTCTCTTGTCTCCAGCGCCTCGTTTCCTGCCAAGTTTAGATAGAGTACTGGGCCCACTGTCATAGTGAATCTGCAAACAGCAGCCGTTCCATTCTCCACAGAACGGTACTAGATTGGCACGATTGGCACGGTTAGAATCTGTGTCCGACTCCGCGGGAGGTCGCTGTAAGGTAAGTATCGTTCCACACACCACCACCACAATAACGCAGAACCCGAATCCAGCGCCAGTAGATCCCAGATCCAGGAGCGGTGACGGTAACAGCAACTGCAGTTTACAAAATCCCTGAGAGCTCTGAGGGGAGTTGGGGTAGGTTGGCAGGAAATACATGCCACACCCGCGCCATTCCCCTCCCGTCGTCAGCTCACGCGGCGCTCCGCGCGCAGATCGGGGCGGTCTGGTGCCCAGACTGCTGAGTGCTCCCCGACTCTTGCTTGGATTTCTGTTGTATAATAGTTGGAAAATAGGGTCGCCACTACGGGTGCTCATCCGCAATGCCCACCAAGCTACGTACAGCCAGTCTGACGATGGACTTGCCCATGTAACTTCGTAGTCTACGTGATCTTGCCTCGCGACTCGTAGCTCACTGTAGAGTTCGTCGGCTCCTCTGGAAACTAGAAGGACAAGACCAACTGCATCCGCGGGGAACAGACTAAACAAGACTCGCCTTATGTGCATGCGTGGTGGCATGAATAGCGTTCCCACCCATGAGGCAGAATGCCGACACATACATTGAGGTGCGTCTCTCTCCCCCACTCAACCAACCAAAATAACCATGACTTGTTCTCCCTGGGGCCCCTGCTGATCTGATTGGATCCCTCCTCAACAATTACCAGGGGGGCCATCTCACTCACTCAACTCACTCTCACTCTGACGGCAGTATACTCTTACCACAACATTGGCAGCTTACAGGCTCAACTAAGCTCTACAGATCAATAGCGCTATACTCATTAGCTATACTAACAAAGTCAAGCCCAGAAAGTATGCGGAAACGGATACCAAGTGCCTGCTGGCAAGGGTACCTCACCCACTCCCGGCACCCGGCTCTCACCCTCCGCCAAAGGCCAAAGGCCATGCCATGCCATGCAGGCTGCCCTCCGCCGTTCACCGGACCTCCGGGTACATCCATCTCCTTCGTACCTCTTACACGGACAACGGGCGCGACCTGTACTTTGACCCCGATTCCACGTCTCTAAGCAACGCAAGTACCTTTCTTTTCTGATTCCCTCGTAAAGTAGGTTCAGATAGGATGCAACTCTTCCCGTTTACCTTGCCTACTCTGTCACCGTACCACACAGTCACCACGTCCATCAGCACAACCGCAACCGCCGTTCTCATCCCATCCCATCCCCGAACCCAGACCAGACCTGGGACCGCCCTCCCCTTCTCTCTCTCTCTCTCTCTCTGTGTGTCTGTCTCAATCTCATCCCACCGCTCACCCCGTCGCATCTCATCCCATCCATGCCCCTACCCTCTCCCCAATCCAAACCTGTCCGAACTTATTCGCCGGCCCACCCTGGCCAAGTCCCCGTTCCAGTTCTCAGTGTTCCAGTTCCTGTTCCGGGGGTCGTCAGACAGAGAGGAGAGGGTGTGTATCTACGCCCTGTGTGCATGGAGGTGTGCATGTGTGTGTGAATGCTCGTGTGGTAAGATAGCGCGCGTATGTGTGTGTGTGAGGTGTGAGGTGTGTGTGAGTGAAGCTCTGTCTCGTTGTCTCTGATCTCTGATCTCTCTCCCGCCCTTCCCTCCTTCCGTGCGTTTGTATATCTGCCGTGCAACTCCCCCTCCATCTTCTCTTGATTCCCTTCCATCCAACCGTCCACCAAGTCTACTATATCTGCCGTCCGTCCGTACAAACGCATCTACTCCGCCACTCGCACTCAGCAAGCCTGAAGCAACCTCTCACTCTCACCTCATATCTGAGTCTCAAGACATCGTCACCAACCTCTTTCAACCAGCTATCAGAACTATAAGCCTGGTCGGCACTTTAACCCCAAAAACAACCACCAACTCATCGGAATCTCTTCAAAACCCCCAACCCCCCAACCGCCAACATGTCGCGCATCACTGCCCCCGTCGCAAAGCTCACCCGCTCCATCAACTCCGCCGCCACGGCCCGCCGATCCAGCGGCCTCCTCGAGTCCCACTACAACGTCAACCACGGCGCCGTCCTGATGCCGAAATACGCAGAGCTCCTCCAAAACCGGAGCACCCGCGAGCACGAAGTATGTTTCTCTCTCTATGCGTCCCCTCACTTCCCCCGCGCAGCGTTCTCCTCACCAAAAAGCTCTACTATTGAAACAAGAAACCCCAACTAACACAACACCACCACAGTCCGCCCGCACCCTAAGCACAACCCACCGCCCAACCCCCCAACCAACCCGGACCTCCCCCTCCGTCCGCCAAATGCAAACCTTCTCCTCCGGCGCATCATCCTCTACCAACGCCGGCGGAATGGACTTCACAATCCTCCCCATCTCCTACGACCCCGTCCCTAGAAACGAGTTCGCAGGCATGCGCATGCCCCTCCTCCCAGACTCCTTCACCACAAAACACCAATCTCTCTACGAGCAGACCCCCGCCTCCGCCGCGGACGCTCTCCCGCTCAGCAAGCCTGAGATCTCAATCATTGCCGCACACCCCGAAAACGTCACCACCGCCGCCGCTTTGACGGAGGTTGAGGGCTTCGGCGTGGACGGCGTGGAGCTGAAGTGGGCTCACGACAGCGAGGCTGCCGCCGAGACGGAGGCGCATCAGCCCGGTTTGAGAGATTTGTGGAAGGGTCTTGTTGATAACGTTGTTGGGTCGTCGCAGAAGCCTGCTTTCTAAGAGAAGAAGATTAGAAACGCTGTGTGCTCCGACGCAAGGGTTGGGATGATTGTTATGATGTGTGACTAAAGCAGCAAAGCGGATGATGTTACTTTCAACGTCATGTAGTATGTGGACTAGCTTTGGAAGCAGTCGAGACAATTCTTTTTTTCATTTATCGTTGGTTTACATGGTTTTAATTGCGATTCAGTTGGTAAGAACACCAACTTGACATTCACAATCGGGTACGACTAGCATTTCAAAAAATTCAATGGCTCAAATTTGGATCTTGCTTGAGCAAATCCAGCCCAAACTTCAAGTCTCACAATCTACTTGCAAAGAGAATGTGACATGATTCTTAAAACTTTTGATTGCCAATTTGGTATCGTCCGGTACCGTACACTCCTTTTCGCGGCGATGATTCGCGATCCTTAACATTTGCTTGCACCTCAGTGACTGAAAACCCCGAATTCATGGACCCTCCTCGTACATTACACAGGTATCCATCCTGGCGCAATAACATCTACTTGTCGTCTGTCCCCTACGTCCTGTGCTCAATTACCTTGCGCACGCCGCCCACCCCACTCATCCGGGTGTGAATCCAACTCGTCCAACCAATGGACCCCTTCCTACATTTACCGCTTCTTCATAGTCGGGCGAGGCTTGCACTCATCCGCTTGAACGGGGTGCAACATGACCTTGTTGGGGTACGCCTGCGTGTTGTGCTGGAAGCCCTTAGCCCAGTCATAACTGATACCGTACGCGAAGATGGATCCGGTCTTGTTGAAGGTGGTGGCCGTGATGCTGCCGCCGACCTGCGGGTAGCCCTTGAGACGGTGCTTGGCGTCCTTATCCCAGAAGTGGAAGGTACCGTCAGAGCCGGCCGTGCTGAAGGTGCCGTGAACGGGGTGGAAGGAGATGTCGTTGACGGCATAGACGTTGGTGACGTTGTTGGCGGGAGGGTCTCGGTGGCACTTGAAGGAGAAGTTGGATCTGTTTGTGCAGTGTTAGCCGCCTGCTGTACTTCGTTCGCATCTTTCCAGAGATCAAAACTTACGTAGCATCCTTGTCCTCGACATACTGAATCGCGCAACGTCCCTCGATACTACCAATGGCAAAGCCAGCGGCGTCCGCGAAGCAGCTGACGACCCTCGTCTGCCACTTGAGTGGGCTCTGCAGAGTCTTGTAAAATTTTGTCGGGTTCTTGAGGTCCACCACGTTGATGTACCGGTCGGCGGTTCCTATGACGAGGAGGTCGTTTCGCACGTCGATCGTGTATACGCGTTCCTGGCAGGCCAGCGATGCCGCGGGTGTCGGCGAACGCATGTCCCAGTACTTGACCGTCTTGTCCCAGGAGCCCGACACGGCCATCGGGGTGCCGGACGACTCGAAGAAGCGGACCGACTTGACGGGCTGGTCGTGCTCGCCAATCTTGATCGTCTGCTGGGAGCCCAGATCGCAGAGCTTGACGGCCTTGTCGGCGCCGCCGGAGAGAACTTTTGTGCCGTCCTTGTTGGAAGAATGTTAGCCAGAGTTCATTACATATGTATGTAGAGTCGGAGATATAATACCTTGGACCAATCGCAGCCCAAGACTGGACCATCGTGTTCGTAGGCGTGCCGCCCTTCGCTCTGCCCGTTGGGTGCAATCTCGTATATTCTGACCTTCTTGTCCCAACTGGAGACTGCCAGGAAGTCGCTGGTCTGGTTCTGAGCGGGAGAGAAGGCGAGATCGGAAATGCTGTCTTCGGGAGGGTTGTTGAGGGCGACGTCCTGCTTGAGATCGCCGACCGTGTTGCTCGACGAGGCCGACGATGCGGCGCCAAACAGGCCGGACATGTTGTCGGTGTGTTGTCGATCGAGCTACGTGCAGTGGTGGTTTTGTGTGGGCGGTAAGAAGAGTGTCGTTCGAAAGCGAAACACGCGTTGTCCTGTCAATCAGTATATCTGTTGAGGAGAATTGTTGGCTACAGACGCGGGCTGCTGAAGCTTCAAATAGCTATTGGAAATTGTCCGAGTGAAGCTTCCCAGTCCAGGCACGAAGGCAGTCGCGATGCGAAAAGTGATGGCCACCTTCCATTGGCCCAAAAAGCCACAAGGCTGGGTGCCTGACGTCCCTGCGCTTGAGCCACACCTCAGCTAATAGGCAGGCAGAGAGAGAGGTCTCCACAACGCAACAGCCACAACACGAGCCCCACCTTACAGCTCCGAAACTTTTTTTTTCTTTATAAAAAAGACTGCAAGCTTCGCGTCTGCTTTCTTCTCTTCTTCTTCTCTTCAACCCCCCTCGTCCGACAAATCGCCATCGAAGCTCACAAACGGAGATTCCCTCACAGGAGTCTCAAATTCGAAAGCTTTGGGAGAAAGTCCCCGGACACACGTTACTTCTCTGTCACAGGGGAAGCCAAAACGCCGCGGAAACGCGCCGCCATAGAAGCACAGCGGCTGACCTCCAAGACCTGCGTCCGGACACAATGGGCTCTTTCACACCCCGCCCCGTCGCTACATCGTCGGTCTTCTTTACCCTTCGAGACCCTGCTTTCGCTTTCCAGGACCCTTTGGATGAAGATATGAGTCCGCGCCTGGGGAGTTGCGAGTTGGGGATCTTGGGTTAGGGAGCTTTTGATGACGGGGTGGCCGTTGGGAGGGTTTCGCTTGCCGGGCGAATTCAAGGGTTCGTCGGAGGGTCTTTCGTCGAGATCGATAGGTATGCGATTGCCCGTCCACAGCCTCTTTACTGAGGTTTGGGCGTGTTACTCGATGGGGCTTATTCTTGGTGCGAGGGGGGTTCAAACCAAACCTTTTGGGTTTTGCTCTTGAGGGTTTCGTCCCCAATCTTCCTTTGTTGGTCCGCAAAGGGGCTAGACACCTACACTCTGGACTTCGTGGGAAGTCTCACCCGTCTATGATGCCCTGGATTCAACGAGGGGATGTTGGGAGACAGATACACTTCCAGTTCGATGATGATTACCTATAGAGTCAAGCACTGACGGTGAGAGGCCTTAGGGTCCGCCAATGTGAGCGACAAAACATGCGTTATGGTATCTGATGAACATTTGGAACTTTTTTTTTAATCAATTATATTCAATTATCAATGGACATCAAGGTTGAGACATGTTTTCTCTCCCATGGCTCAGGTCAGAGATAGATAGATATATATATATATAAAGAAGAATAGAAACAAACATGAATATGGTATATCTCAAAGCCTCGTCATAACGTGCCCTGCGCCGAAAATCTCTTTCACGTTTCAAACATGAACCATCCATCATCCGTAAGGGGTGCGCCAAAGAAAGAAAGAACTCCGTAGACAAAACAATGCAAATCATTCCAGACATGGGTCCCATATAATCCGTATACGTTCCATCCATCACATGAGCCCACCGAGCACAACCTTGCCGATATTGGCCACCTCCGTCTTGATGTGCGACCTGCTGCTGTCCTCAAACTCCTTGACGACGCCCTGCACGATAATCTTGCGCACTTTGGCGTCCGCCTTGGCAAACAGCTCCGCCACGGGCGCCGTCGTCTCCCGCGGCGTGGGCACCAGGCTCAGCACCTTCGTGTAGACGTCGATCAGCACCTCGCACAGCGTCGCAAACGTCTCGTAGAAATCCGGCTCGAACGGCAGCGACGGCGTGAGCAGGTGCGTGTACACCTCGCCCGGCAACAGATCGTTATCGCTCGACGCAAAGGACATTACGCTCGCGCTCGCGCTCGACGAGCCCCCGATGCCGCCGTAGCTTCCGCCGCTCGCCGAGTCCGAGTCGAGGGGGTATCCGATGTCGTTTGCGCCGCTGGCGCTGCGCCGTGATTTGCCGCCCTGGCGGCGGAACATGGAGGGGAGGCGGGCGCGGGAGAGGGAGGAGGTGGAGGTGCCGCCTTCGCTGTGGAGTTGTTGGAAGGACTCGAATTCTTGGAGGAGGTTGTTGAGGCTGCGGAGGAACTCGATAGGGGTGTTTGCGTAGAGGTCGACAATTGTGGGGAGGGAGAGGCCGAGGAGGAGGTAGTTTGTCGCGCGGCGGGCGAGCTTGCGCGATTCAAAGGAGGGCATGCGGGCGAGGTCGGGCTTGTCGAAGAGGATTGTGTTGAACCAGTATACTCGGCCTTCGTGTCTGTTGAATCATAGTTAGGACATTGGTAACCCAAGTAGAGAGAGGGGTAGCACATACGCTTTCCGTAAATAGTCCAACGTTGATATCCTCTTGTTCGCAATCTCCTGCATCTGCATGTGCAACACGACAGACTCGCTCGACTGCCACATGTTGGGATGTGTCGCGGACGTGGGCGGTGGTTGTAGGCGGTCGCTGGGCGCCAGGCTCGTCGAGCCGGTCTGGGTACGGCTCAGCATCCTGGAGAAGCTGTCGGCGGAGGCGGGACTCTGGATGTTGTCTGCGTCGCGGGTGATCTTTGCTGCGGCGGCGAGGGCGAAGTCGGGGAGTGCGGGCGGGACGTTGCGGTCGGTGACTACGACATTGCCTCCTCCGCCGGAGCTGGAGCTGTTGGCGCGGCGCTTGGAGGAGGAGGAAGACAAGGAGGAGGACTTGTTGGGCGAGCTGAAGGAGGTCTTGCGGCCAAAGGAGTTCTTGCGGTCCTTGAGGAGGACGTTGGGGCCGGAGGACTGCGGTTGGAGGGGCGGCGGAAAGAAGGGGGACGGCTGCGGTGGTGGTTGGGACTGGGACTTTTCTGGTGGTTCGCCTGAGGATGTGCCGGGACGGGATTTTGAGGAAGAAGAGGAGAAGAAGGAGGAGGAGAAGAACGGCGCATTGGCGGTCGTGGGAGTTGGTCCGGATCGCTGCATGTCTTTGAGTTGGAGGGGGGGGCTTGGAGGCTGAGCCTGGGCCTAGGAGTGGTAGCGGGAGTGGGAGCGAGGTGTGAGAGGATGGGCTGGACGGGGACGGGAACGGAGAGCGGGCGGGATGACGGGGGATGACGGTGTGGTTCGCGCCAGGGAGGTGGAAGAGTTTCCCGTAGGTAAGCAGAAGGAGGGCGTGGAAGGGGAAGGGGTGTCAGGGACCAGGTTCAGGATTCCGGCGAAGGAGGGCGGACGAGGGGCCGAATCGATCGGCGAGGGTGGTTTCGCGCGTGGTCAGGCCAGGTTCGAGGTGGTATTGGATCCCGAGGCGTGCGGCGTGCGGCGTGCGGCTGCGACAGCTGCGTTGCGATGTGCGTGGGTGCGGTGATCCAAGACCGAATAGAGTGGTAGATGCCGATGAGGGATATGAAGTGTGGGCGTACCTGCGTTGGTGTGTCGAGTGCAGCTGAACGAATTGTTTGCCTTGCTTTGCTCTCTCTCTCTCGGGTACCTTGCGCAAGTAAG